AAAAGAAACGGGAATGCCTACTGGTCTTAGAGGTTTTCCCAACCCTCCACAATTCTTGGAATTTCCCTTCTTCTTCTATCATGCTAATGACTGACATCCTTTCCATCTTATCCACTTATATTTTCTCATTTCACCCGAGGATAGGTTCTGTGATGAAACATGGTATAAGTAGGGGGCCAGCAGGTAGTGTGGTCGTTAAGGCACTGAACTCCTACATGGTTGACCATTGTTCTAGTTCTGGACTTGGTGGCTTGCTTTCTCACTTTCCTTCCCTCCCTCTGTCTGTCTCTGGTGACACAAATGTCCTATAGCAAGTTAAATAATAATAATAATACATAAAATTAAATAAGTAATCCTTAAAAATCACAAGTAGACAAAAAGAAAAAGAAAAAAAAAAAAGGCACGACTACTTCATCCTTACGAACACATTTCCCCTCTACCAAGTTTAGTGTTCAAATTTAAAGCTTCAACCCTACAAGAAATTGCCCAAGAAAGTCACAAACCATTCCTTGAAAATATAAAAGAAACAGAACTCAGTTACTTTACACAAAGATCTACATATACTTGCTTTTCTCCTCATGTATCTCGGGAAATTGTCTAATTCACCCATGGCTTCTGTAAGATCCTTTAGGAAGTTCCATTTGCCATAATTACAGATATTTTGTATAATCTGCTCACTGTCACAACCATTCTAACATTCTACATGTTAATAATAGTTCTATCACATAGCTACTGGCTAACTGAAGAAGTAAAGGTTGGGACCAGCAGTTGGAGTAATGGCTAATGTCGCTGGACTCCCATGTAGTCGGCCGCGGTTCAAGTCCTGGACCCGGTGGCTTAAACTCACGCCTAGCGCATGTGCGTGCGTGCCCAAAATCCCGAGAGGAGAATGGAGGAAAAGGGATTGCGGAGAGGCCATCCCCCCTGGGGGGTGATTTCTCGCTGTCTGTCTCTCCGTCTCTCTCTTTCTGGGGAGGCCACCGATCCTATAGCTATAAAAAAAAAAAAAAAAAAAAAACCTCTCCAAAAAAAGAAAAAAAGGATAAGGAAAGACTAATTTTCCAGTGAAGCTATCTCTTTAGCAGGGCCAATATTAAGCAATATATAAGACTTCTCTGAAGTAGTATATTCTTACAGAGTTAGTGACAACGCCTATCTCAGGCCAGTCAGTGGCGAGGTGATTAAGGCAGCTGGATTTCACATGACCAACTGAGCAGTTTGAATACCAGACCCCAGCAGCTTGAAAAGCACACTGGACACATGTGCATGTGTGTCCAAAGTCCAAAACAGAGAAGTGGAAGAGAAAGGATTGGGCATAACCACTCCCCAGGGGAGGTGCTTTCTCACTTTCTTTCTCTCTCTCTTTTCTCTCTTGCAATGTGCACATGGCCCTCTAACAAATTTAAAAAAAAAAAATCTCATGTATTATTGTGAAAATTAAGTAATATATCTATATAAAGCACTTATCAATCTAGCATAAAAGCAGTGATCACAAATGTTAGTCATTGTTATTAATGGTGGTGGAAATATTATTTGTGTAACTAAGCAATATTCCAGAAGCCAGGAAACAAGCTTATCCTGGTTTGGCCACTAATAGGACCAAATTATTAATCTTTCTTAGGCATTTTCCTCATTTAAAAAAACGAAGGGGGGGGCGGCAGGTGGTGTGGAGGTTAAGGCGATGGATCCCACATGGCCAACTATACGCTTCAAGTCCCATACCTAGCAGCTTGGAAATCATGCAGGGTGTGTATGTATGTACTAAAATCCCAAGAGAAGACTAGAGAAGGGACTGTGGCACAGCCAACTGTGGCACTCCCAAGTGGGATCACCTTCTCTGGCAAGCTCACATACCCTATAACAAAAACTTAAAAAATAAAAAGAAAACAAATTGAATTAGATGATGTCTGAACTCAGTTTCAGCTCATAAATCTAAATTTCTGCAAAACCCAGACTAGAAACAGCTAGCTTCTTCCTACCACTTTTTCAAAGCCCAGGGTGTATGTGTCTAGTGAGTACCTAAGATAGCACACTGTCAAGAAAGGCGTGTCAATGTTGAAAACACATTTTGACTGAAGTAAGGCTTCTGTACACTCTACTATCACCCAAACCTTCTATATCTCTTTCCTTATTCTTGAACAAAACAAAACCCAGTTTCTTGTGAGCAAAGTATCGAAATTAAAAGAAAAAAGTACTACTGGGCTGGCCCCACGGCTAGGTAGTAAGGGAGCCAGATCCCACGTATCTGGCTGTGAGGTTTCAATCCTGGTCCCAGCAAGTTGAAAAACATGCCAGGTTCATGTTATCGCATGCCCAAAACCCCTACAGGATGGAGAAAGGGATGAGAAGGGACTGCAGTGTGGCATGCCCCATTTTTTCCTCCCTCTTCCTCTTTTCTCACACACACTGGCAAATTGGGAAACACATTCTATTAAAATATGCTTTGCTTAAGAAATAGTTGTGTAGGGTCAGCAGGTGATGTGGTGATTGAGGAGCTGGAGTCCCACACAACTGACAATGATACAAGTTCCAGACCTGGCGGCTTGCTTTCTCACTTTTCCTCTCTCTCTCTCTGATAAATGAATGTGCCCTATAGCAAATTAAAAATAATGATAATAAATAAAATGAAATAATTATTTTTTAAAAGAGTTGTTTAAATCATAACATTCTAAATTTATTTTTTTGTTTTTGTTTTTCACACCAGAGAGTACGTGTATGGTAAGAAAGCACCCTCTATGTAGCCTGGTCATGCCACAACCCTTTTTCCTCCAATTCTCCAACTCATCAGGATCCTGAATACTCATATGCCCTGGTACGTTTCTCAAGTCTGCAGGGCTTGGGACTTGAACTCTGGTCAGCCATGTGGTATCTGGCTTCCTCTGAGCAGCATGTTACCTGCTGTGCTACAGAGCTGGCCCAATTTTCTAAATTTCATGCTTCACTTTTAGCACCTCCAATTGGTCAACACAACCTGGACTCCTCAACCTGGACTCCTCACTTCAATGAAGCTCCTGTGATAATGGCAAATTTAATGAGTACTCACGTGCAGCTAAATGATGGCTACCATAACTCACCTAGCTTCCCAAGTAAATGAATTAGAAGTCAGAATCCACTGCCACACCCTATCATTATTGTCCATTTCCCTTCTGAAGTATTATTCCAATCTGTCCCTACTATTACGAGTCTGGTTCTTTCCTCTTACCAGTACTTTGCAAAGTGTAGTGATGTAATGACTCAGCTCATTGAGCTTCCTGCATCAGGTCACATATTCTACTAATAATTACTGAGTATCTACTACATAACACAATGAAAACGGCTTTAAGAATAAACTAACAAACCTGATATGAAACTTAGTCCCCACAGAGCCCACATTTCAGTGGAAACTTGTCCTTTCAGTCTATCCTCTGTAAATCGGTGGTCCTCAAAATTTGATTCCAGAGCCAATAACATCAGTATCACCTAAGAACTTGTTATATATGCTAGTTCTTGGGTCCCTCGCAAACAGCTCTGGGAGCAGACTCAGCAATCTATTGTAACAAACTGTTCAGGTTACTTGAAAACAGCTGCTTTAAAGTATAAACCAATATTTTTCAAATTGAGTCCTACATTAGTGGGTCATAGAAAGTCAATTTACAGTGGTTTTGTAAATGAAATTGAACTGAAAGTGCCATACCATACTGCACAGAGTAAGAACAGGTTTTTGCAGATTTCTGTTTCAGTTATACATACATGCATATACTCTTGTGTATTAATCAAAATACTATTCTTTCTTTCTTTCTCTCTCTCTCTCTCTCTCTTTCTTTCTTTCTTTCTTTCGGGGGGGAGAGGTTTTCGCTATAGGGCGCGTGCACTAGCCAGATAGACAGAGAGAGACATAGAGACAGAAAGCGAGAAATCAGCCCTCAGGGGGGATGGTCATGCCACAATCCCTTCTCCTCCATTCTCCTCTCGGGATCTTGGGCACACACACACACGCGCGCCCAGCATGAGTTTTTAAGCCACCGGGTCCGGGACGCAAACCGCGGTTGACTATGTGGGAGTCCAGCAACATAGCCATTACGCTAACTGCTGGTTCCCTCAAAATACTATTATTTCTTAAGGACAATCCAAGTCAAAAAGTTTGAGAAACACTGTCCTACATTGTTACCAAGGAGAAATTTCTCAAGTTTATAGATATGATATCTTCTGCTTAAAAACTGGATCCAGGGACCAGCCCATTATGTGGTGGTTAAGGCAGCTGGATCCCACATAGCCAAACACGGGGTTCAAGTCCTAAACCAGGTAGCTTGAGCAACATACC